GGACCTTAGATTGGGGGGTAATGGGGGTTGTTGGATCAGTGGCCCAGACGCGGAGGGGGGGGGGGGGGGTGGTGTTGGATCAGTGGCCCGGGCTTGGGGGGGGATCTAGGAGTCAGAGGCCCTGCCGTGACATGGGGAAGGGGTTTCGTGGTTTTGGGAGTCAGTGGCCTGGGTGCATAGCGGTCGTCGGATAAGTGGATTTGGGTGCAGCTGCCGGCTCAGGGGGTCAGTTGCCTAGGTGCAGGAAGGTTCAGGGGGTCAGTGGCCCATGTGCAGGGAGGGGTGGGGGCGTATTAGTGGTCCAAGCATGGGAGGGGGGGGGGGGGTGTTGGATCAGTGGCTTGGGTGCAGGCCGAAAGGGAGTGTTGGATCAGTGGCCCAGGCACAGGGAGAGGGGGAGAAGTTGGGGTCAGGAGTGGAGCAGGGGAAGGGGGTCTGGGGGGGTCAGTGGTCCTGGCGCAGGATGGGGGTGAGGTTCCTCCTGGGGTCAGTGGCCCTGGCACAGGAAGGGGGGTTCAGGGGTCAGTGGCCCTGGGCAGGAAGGGGGGGGGGTTCCAGGGGTCAGTGGCCCTGGTGCAGGAAGGGGGGTGGGGTTCCAGGGGTCAGTGGCCCTGGCGCAGGAAAGGGGGGTGGGGTTCCTAAGGTCAGTGGCCCTGGCGCAGGAAAGGGGGGTGGGGTTCCTGGGGTCAGTGGCCCTGGCGCAGGAAAGGGGGGGTGGGGTTCCTGGGGTCAGTGGCCCTGGTGCAGGAAGGGGGGGTGGGGTTCCTGGGGTCAGTGGCCCTGGTGCAGGAAGGGGAGTGGGGTTCCTGGGGTCAGTGGCCCTGGTGCAGGAAGGGGGGTGGGGTTCAGGGGGAGGAGGAGGTGTCTGGAGTGGCACCGGCACACCTATCACAAGACAAATCTCCTGCAATGTAAAGCGATCCCTACACAAGTGTTTTCAATGGAGTTTAACCATCGAGCCGGAGTCGTCCTTTAACGCCACCTACCTTCCAGCGCAAGAAAAGGATATTCATGATGGCCAACAGGGGGCACGGGCCGTTCTCGCTCTGAGTTATAACCGGCGTCCGCTCTCCTTTCCAATTTATCCACTTCACAAAGTAATAGTCCGCCGCGGCAGCGCCCTCGTTCCCTGGCGACTTTGCCACCGCCCCCTCCAAGGCCTCCTCGCAGGGGCTGACGCTGGAACTGGAGCACAGCAAGTTCTGCAGCGAGGGATTTTCCACTTTCGCCTGCTCCTCCGGCGACCTGCCGGCTTCCGGCTGCTCCGATTCGACGGATGTGGACAGAAGGTTCACTTTACTGGAATCCGCTGTGGTCTGGGAGAGGCTATCCTCCACCTCTAGACTGGACTGCGGCTCTTGCAGTTTGCTGCCGCCGCTGCCGCCATTGTCGTCGCTGGAGGTCGATACTTCGCAAGCATCGGACGTCTCCTGACTCCTCTCCGTCGTCGTATCCGAGTCCAATTTCCGACTTTCGGAATCGCTCTCTGAAATCTGCGCTTCCTCCAAGTCTTCGGGAGACTTTTGTCCCAAAACGCCACAATTTTCTGGCTGCGTGGGGGCGGCCTTCTCCTCCACGAGATCCATTTTTTCGCTGTCTGTTGTGGGGTCCATCGTTGCGCCAAAAACCACCAACGTTCCTATAAATTTTCTAGGTGCAAATTTAAGAAAAATAAATTTAACAAAAAAAAAAAAAAACGTCTTTGATCCAGAAAAAGATATAAATAGAATTTCAAAAATACTTTAAAAAATTCCTTCAGCTGAATAATATTTTATATTTCATATACAAAGCAAAACAAAAAACACTGGACTGCGCAAAATTAATTTTTTTAAATATATTTTTGTGCGTTGTACACGCTGGTCATCAATACTGGAAAATAAAAATAATCTGTGGTGGAAATGTCATGAAAAAAAAAAAAAATACGCCAAAAAGGAGGGAGATGAGTGCGAGTTTATAAGAAAGCGTCTGAAAAAAAGTATAAATTGTGCATTTTCTTTCGAAGAAAATTTGTTGAGTGGAAACAGACGCCCGGCGGAGGTTTAGGTTGATCGATATTTTTCAGACGTTCGATGAACGTATTTGGGTTTCAGTGTGGACGATGGCGTTTCCATCCGAGTCAAGATGGCGGATGACGATTGGAGGTGATTTGAGGAGCCTGCAGAGAGAGGTAAAATGGGGGGGAAAAAAAAAAAAGTGGAAATGATTATTATACAGTATTTATATAGAGCGACAGGACAGGTATAATACAATTCAAGACAAGAGAGTTAGGAGGGCCCGCCCAGGAAAATTAAAAAATTGTCTCCGCCCCCTCCTGTAGTTTTCTGCAGTTGGGCCCCTCCTACAGCTCTGCTTCCTCTCCTTGTACAGAGTGACTGGTCTCGTCTCAGCCCCCCCCCGCTCCTTCTCCCCTGGTCTCGTCTCCACCCCCTCCTGTAGTTCTCTACAGCTGGGCCCCTCCCACAGCTCTGCTTCTTCTCCTTGTACAGGGTGGGTGACTGGTCTCTCGTGGGCCCCTCCACCCCCTCCTTGTGTAGTTCTCTACAGCTGGGCCCCTCCCACAGCTCTGCTTCTCCTTGTACAGAGTGACTGGTCTCGTCTCTTTAGTTCTCTACAGGTGGGCCCCCCCCCCCCCCCCCTCTCCTTGTCATATGTAGCTGGGACCCCCTCCCCACAGCTTCTGCTCTCTTCTTCTTGTACAGGGTGACTGGTCTCGTCTCCGCTCCCTCCTGTAGTTCTCTACAGCTGGGCTCCTCCCACAGCTCTGCTTCTTCTCCTTGTACAGGGTGACTGGTCTCGTCTCAGCCCCCCCCCGCCACTCTGCTTCTCCTTGTACACGGTGACTGGTCTCGTCTCCTGCCCCCCCCCCCCCCCTTAGTCTTCTGTAGCTGGGCCCCTCCCACAGTTGCTTCCTCTCCTTGTACAGGGTGACTGGTCTCATCTCCACCCCCTCCTGTGGTCTTCTGCAGCTGGGCCCCTCCCACAGCTCTGCTCTCCTTGTGCAGAGTGACTGGTCTTGTCTCCACCCCCTCCTGTAGTTCTCTACAGCTGGGCCCCTCCCACAGTTCTGCTTCTTCTCCTTGTACAGGATGACTGGTCTTGTCTCCGCCCCCTTCTGTGGTCTTCTGCAGCCCCTCCTACAGCTCTGCTTCCTCTCCTTGTACACGGTGACTGGTCTCGTCTCCGCCCCTTTCACCCCCCAGTAGTCTTCTGTAGCTGGGCCCCTCCCACAGCTCTGCTCTCCTTGTGCAGAGTAACTGGTCTTGTTCCCGCCCCCTCCTGTAGTTATCTACAGCTGGGCCACTCCCACAGATCTACTTCTCCTTGTACAGGGTGACTGGTCTTGTCTCCGCCCCCTCCTAGTTTTTTTGTAGCAGCTGGAGCCCTCAGCTCTGTTCCAAGCATGTCTCCAGACCGAAACCCTATTGAGCATCTGTGGGGCGTCCTCAAACAGACGGTGGAGGAGCGCAGTCTCTAACATCCACCAGCTCAGTGATGACGTCATGGAGGAGTGGAAGACGGAAGGTGGAGGAGCGCAAGGTCTCTAACATCCACCAGCTCAGTGATGATGTCATGGAGGAGTGGAAGATGGAAGGTGGAGGAGCGCAAGGTCTCTAACATCCACCAGACCCGTGATGACATCATGGAGGAGTGGAAGAGGACTCCAGTGGCAACCTGTGAAGCTCTGGTGACCTCCATGCCCAAGAGGGTTAAGGCAGTGCTGGAAAATAATGGCGGCCACACAAAATATTGACACTTTGGGCCCAATTTGGACCTGGTCACTTAGGGGTGGACTCACTTTTGTTGCCAGCGGTTTAGACATTAATTTATTAATTAAAAAGTATATATTTTACACAAACATACATATACACACTATATTCCCAAAAAGTATTGGAATTATTATTATTATACAGGATAGGCCCCTCTGAAGAGATGAGTTTTCAGGGATCGGCTAAAAGTGGACAGAGGAGGAGATAGCCGGACGTATCGGAGAAGAGCATGGGAGGTGGTGACAAGGGAGCTAGAGAGCAGGAGGTCTTTGGAGGAACGAAGAGAACAATTTGGTTGGTATTTTGAGACCAGGTTAGTGATGTAACTAGGGGCTGAGTTGTGAATGCCGGCCTTTCCACACACATGAACTTTAATGGCATCACAGTCTTAGTCTGTAGGGTTCAAGGTCCAGTCAAGTTCCTCCACCCCAAACTGGCTCCTCCATGTCTTTATGGACCTTGCTTTGTGCACTGGTGTGCAGTCATGTTGGAACAGGGAGGGGCCATCCCCAAACTCTTCCCACAAAGTTGGGGGCATGAAATTGTCCAAAATGTTGCCTTAACAGATCACTTCACTGGAACTAGGGGGCCAAGCCCAACCCCTGAAAAACACCCCCACACCATAATCCCCCCTCCACCAAACTGTACACTTGGCACAATGCAGTCAGGTAAGTACCGTTCTCCTGGCCACCGCCAAACCCAGACACGTCCATCGGATTGCCAGACAGAGAAGTGTGATTGGTCACTCCAGAGAACATGTCTCCCCTGCTCTAGAATCCAGTGGTGGCGTGCTTTACACCACGGCATCCGACGCTTTGCATTGCACTTGGTGATGTAAGGCTTGGATGCAGCTGCTCGGCCATGGAAACCCATTCCATGAAGCTCTCTACACACTGTTGTTGGGCTCATCTGAAGGCCACACCAAGTTTGGAGGTCTTTAGCTATTGACTCTGCAGACAGTTGGTGACTTCTGCGCACTGTGCGCTTCAGCATGCGCTGACCCTGCCCTGTCATGTGACGTGGCCTACCACTTGGTGGCTGAGTGGCTGTTGTTCCCAGTTGCTTCCACTTTGTTATAGTCCCACTAACAGTTGAGCGTGGAATATTTAGTAGCCAGGAAATGTCACGGATGGACTTATTGCCCAGGTGACCACCTATCACGGGACCACGCTTGGAGTCACTGAGCTCCTGAGAGCGACCCATTCTTTCACCAATGTTTGTAGAAGCCGTCTGCATGCCTAGGGGCTTGATTGTATACACCTGTATCCATGGAGGGGGGATTGGAGCGCCTGAATCACATGATTGGGAGGGGATTGGAACACCTGAATCACATGATTGGGAGGGGATTGGAACACCTGAATCAAATGATTGGGAGGGCGGGGCCAATACTTTTGGCAATATAGTGTACATTGCTATATTGTAAAGCGCTATATAAATCCTGTATAATAATAATTGCATCACGTGTGACATGGTGACAACGTAGGAGCAAAAACAGGAAACAGGGGCAGAGCATTGTTACCCTATAAACAGGAAGTGCCTGAACAAGGACCTATATAAATAAATATCTATATATACAGTGGGGCAAAAAAGTATTTAGTCACCACCAATTGTACAAGTTCTCCCACTTAAAAAGATGAGAGAGGCCTGTAATTGGCATCATAGGTAGACCTCAACTATGAGAGACAAAATGAGAAAAACAAATCCAGACAATCACATTGGCTGATCTGGAATGAATTTATTTGCAAATTATGGTGGAAAATAAGTATTTGTCACCTACAAACAAGCAAGATTTCTGGCTCTCACAGACCTGTACCTTCTTCTTTAAGAGGCTCCTCTGTCCTGCACTCATTACCTGTATCAATGGCACCTGTTTGAACTTGTTATCAGTATAAAAGACACCTGTCCACAACCTCAAACAGTCACACTCCAAACTCCACTATGGTGAAGACCAAAGAGCTGTCGAAGGACACCAGAAACAAAATTGTAGACCTGCACCAGGCTGGGAAGACTGAATCTGCAATAGGCAAGCAGCTTGGTGTGAACAAATCAACTGTGGGAGCAATAATTAGAAAATGGAAGACATACAAGACCACTGATAATCTCCCTCGATCTGGGGCTCCACGCAAGATCTCACCCTGTGGGGTCAAAATGATCACAAGAACGGTGAGCAAAAATCCCAGGACCACACGGGGGGACCTAGTGAATGATCCGCAGAGAGCTGGGACCAACGTAACAAAGGCTACCATCAGTAACACACTATGCCGCCAGGGACTCAGATCCTGCAGTGCCAGACGTGTCCCCCTGCTTAAGCCAGTACATGTCCGGGGCCCGTCTGAAGTTTGCTAGAGAGCATTTGGATGATCCAGAAGAGGATTGGGAGAATGGCATATGGTCAGATGAAACCAAAATAGAACTGTTTGGTAGAAACACAACTCGTCGTGTTTGGAGGAGAGAGAATGCTGAGTTGCATCCAAAGAACACCATACCTACTGTGAAGCATGGGGGTGGCAACATCATGCTTTGGGGCTGTTTCTCCGCAAAGGGACCAGGATGACTGATCCAAGTACAGGACAGAATGAATGGGGCCATGTATCGTGAGATTTTGAGTGCAAACCTCCTTCCATCAGCAAGGGCATTGAAGATGAAACGTGGCTGGGTCTTCCAACATGACAATGATCCCAAATATACCGCCCGGGCAACAAAGGAGTGGCTTCGTAAGAAGCATTTCAAGGTCCTGGAGTGGCCTAGCCAGTCTCCAGATCTCAACCCCATAGAAAACCTTTGGAGGGAGTTGAAAGTCCGTGTTTGCCCAGCGACAGCCCCAAAACATCACTGCTCTAGAGGAGATCTGCATGGAGGATGGGCCAACATACCAGCAACAGTGTGTGCCAACCTTGTGAAGACTTCCAGGAAACGTTTGACCTCTGTCATTGCCAACAAAGAATATATAACAAAGTATTTAGATGAACTTTTCATATTCACCAAATACTTATTTTCCACCATAATTTGCAAATAAATTCTTTCCAGATCAGCCAATGAGATTGTCTGGATTTGTTTTCTCATTTTGTCTCTCATAGTTGAGGTCTCCCTATGATGCCAATTACAGGCTCTCTCGTCTTTGTAAGTGGGAGAACTTGCACAATTGGTGGTGACTAAATACTTTTTTGCCCCACTGTATATAGATATTCGTGAATTACATACACTTTGTCACGTGTGACATGGTGAAAGCATAAAAGCGAAAATGGTTAACAGGGGAGGAGTGCTGTTCACATACAATTACATATAGTTACATAGTTAGTCTGGCTGAAAAAAGACTAAAGTCCATCCAGTTCAACTATTAAAGAAAAAAAAAAAAGTTATAATCCTACACCCACAGGTGATCCAGAGGAAGGCAAAAAAAAAAAAACTCAGCAAAGCACGATCCAATTTGCTCCTCAATATATGTAATTCAATATACTGTATATATATATATATATATTTATATATATATATATATATATATATATATATAGAAGAAATACATATATATATATTACATATTATATATATACTTATATATATATATATATATATATATATATATATATACACACAGTTGCAAGAAAAAGTATGTGAAACCCCTATTGGGATTACGTGGTAGGAGGGTTTTGCATGAATTGGGCATTAAAAATGTGCTCCGAACGTCATCTAAGTCACAACAATAGAAGAAAACACAGTCTGAAACTTTTTTTTTTTTTGAACATAATACTACACAAACATTAGATGAATTGCCATGGTTTAATTGCACATAACATGTAAACATTCACAGTGCAGTAAAAATTCACAGGAGGAAAAAGTATGTGAGGCCCTAACTTAATGACTTCTCCCAGAGCTAATTGGAGCCAGGAGTGAGCCAACCTTGACTCCAATCAGTGTGATGATATTGGATGTGTTGCTGACAGCTGTCCTGCCCTTAAAAAAACACACACCTGTTTTGGGTTTACTGGTTTCAAGAAGCACTGTCTGATGTGAACCATGCCTCGCAGAAAAGAGCTCTCAGAAGACCTACCATCAAGAATTGTTGACTTGCATGAAGCTGGAAAGGGTTACAAAAGTATCTCCAAAAGCCTTGATGTTCATGTGTCCACGGTAAGACAGACCGTCTACAAATGGAGAAAGTTTAGCACTGCTGCTACTCTCCCTAGGCGTGGTCGTCCTGTAAAAATGACTGCAAGAGCACAGCGCAGAATGCTGCATGAGGTAAAGAAGAATCCCAGAGTGTCAGCTAAAGACCTACAGAAATCTCTGGCACATGCTAACATTTTTGTTGACACATCTACAATAAGGAAAACATTAAACAAGAATGGAGTACATGGGAGGACACCACGGAGGAAGCCATTGCTGGCCAAAAAGAAGATTGCAACACGTTTGAAGTTTGCAAAAGAGCACCTGGATGTTCCACAGCACTACTGGCAGAATATACTGTGGACAGATGAAACCAAGATTGAGTTGTTTGGGAAGAACACACAACACTATGTGTGGAGAAAAAAAGGCACAGCACACCAACATCAAAACCTCATCCCCACTGTGAAACATGGCGGAGGGAGCATCATGGTTTGGGGCTGCTTTGCTGCCTCAGGGCCTGGACGGATTGTTGTCATTGATGGGAAACTGAATTCCAGAGTTTATCAAGACATTTTGCAGGAAAACGTACGACCATCTGTCCGCCAACTGAAGCTCCGCAGAGGATGGGTGATGCAACAGGACAATGACCCAAAGCATACAAGTAATTCAACAAAACAATGGCTGCAACAGCACAGAATACGCCTTCTGGAGTGGCCCAGTCAGAGTCCTGACCTCAACCCCATTGAAATGCTGTGGCATGACCTTAAGAGAGCGATTCACACCAGACATCCCAAGAATATTGCTACACTGAAACAGTTTTGTGAAGAGGAGTGGTCCAAAATGACTCCAGATCGTTGTGCAGGTTGATCTGCAACTACAGGAAACGTTTGGTTGAGGTTATTGCTGCCAAAGGAGGGTCAAGCAGTTATTAAGTCCAAAGGTTCACATACTTTTTCCTCCCTGCACTGTGAATGTTTACATGTTATGTGCAATTAAACCATGGCAACATCTAATGTTTGTGTAGTATTATGTTCAGCAGACTGTGTTCTTCTATTGTTGTGACTTAGATGACGTTCAGAGCACATTTTATGCTCAATTCATGCAAAACTCCACGTAATCCCAAGGGGGTCACATACTTTTTCTTGCAACTGTGTATATATGTATATATTATATATAAATTTTATTTTTTTTTTTTTGTTCAGGCACTTCCTGCTATAAGTGATAAGGAGATATAGATTTTATATCTATATATCTATATCTACATATAAAATCTATATCTCCTTATCACTTATAGCAGGAAGTGCCTGAACAAAAAAAAATAAAATTATATATATATATTTAGAGAGAGAGATACATATAGAGTTAATATAAAATGCGTCATATGTGACATGGTGACAACGTAGTATGAAAGTGGGAAACGGGGTCAGAACGTTGTCACCCTATAACAGAAAGTGCCTTAACAAAGGACCTCTAATATATATATATCTCACACACATACATACATATAAATATATATTATAGGTCCTTGTTCAGATACTTTCCGTTATAGGGTGACAACACTCTGCCCCCGTTTTCCCATTTTCATCCTACGTTGTCACCATGTCACATGTGACGCATTTATATTAACTCATTAACTCAACGATTTTAAAGTCGGATCCAGGGTGATCCGGGGATGACTGTTGCATGGATAACACTAAGATGCAACTTTCATGTGACTTTGGAGAATTTACATTGCAGTCTATGGCCCTTAAGTTGTATGAAAGTCACATCAAAGTAGCTCATGAAACTTTTTTTTTTTTTTTAAATTCGCATCGGTTACCTCATACATATATTAGTTAATTTATTTATTTTTTATTTCAGGTACTTATATAGTGCTGTCAATTACGCAGCTTTACATATATATTGTACATTCACATCAGTCCCTAACCCTCAAGGGGCGTCCAATCTAAGGTCCCGACCCTCAAGGGGCGTCCAATCTAAGGTCCCCGACCCTCAAGGGGCGTACAATCTAAGGTCCCCGACCCTCAAGGGGCGTACAATCTAAGGTCCCCGACCCTCAAGGGGCGTACAATCTAAGGTCCCCGACCCTCAAGGGGTGTACAATCTAAGGTCCCTGACCCTCAAGGGGCGTACAATCTAAGGTCCCCTAACCCTCAAGGGGTGTACAATCTAAGGTCCCTGACCCTCAAGGGGTGTACAATCTAAGGTCCCTAACCCTCAAGGGGGTACAATCTAAGGTCCCTAACCCTCAAGGGGCATTACAATCTAAGGTCCCTAACTCAGGGGTGTACAATCTTCCCAAACTCACATTCATACATACACATACTAGGGACAATTTAGACAGGAGTCAATTCACCTACCAGCATGTCTTTGGAGTGTGGGAGGAAACCGAAGCACCCGGAGGAAACCCACGCAAGCACAGGGAGAACATGCAAACTCCATGCAGGAGGCGCCATGGTCGGGAATCAAACCCATGACCCATTTACTGCAAGGCAGACGTGCTAACCACTAAGCCACTGTGCGTCACGTGTGACATGGT